CCACGGTGTTGTCCATCCAGCTGGCCGAGGCGAACTTGGAGTTGAACGGCAGCACCAGGTTAGCTGGGTGCATCTCGTGGTTTGGCAGCGAGGGGGTTAGACGTGCAGGAGGTAGGCCCCCTGTCTTGTATCGTCGTGACTGGCTTGTTAGTGTATACATCCTGCTAAAAAGGAGAGGCTGAACTGAGAATGGTCGATGGCAGGCAGCAGACGTATTCGGCGCGATGTTGTGTTCCTTCGACGACGTATTCAGCATCAGCTTGTAGATGGCCTGGCAACGTGCTTCTCTCGCGCGCCTCGGGCGTGCCGCACCTCCAGTTGTCGAAAATACAGGGCCGTCTTCTCGCAAGCAACACGGCAAAATTAAGAGACGAACGCATCAGCAGAGTAATGGTCTCGCGCATGTTTCTGTGATGTGCACAACCTTGAACGGCGCTTGTCGCTCGGGACAGGCATGGGCAGTAACCGGTCGACGTGAGATCAGGAGGGGGGGCACCATCCGTTGATAGTATCCGTTTGGCGGCTTCGTTGTGCCTGTTCGATGCTGCCATGCCAGTTGAACCGTTCAATGGCGAGGGCCCAACGCGACAGCACCTCAGACGACGGGTGCGCATGAGACATCTGCGCGATATACGACGACTCTGTACACACCTGCACAGCAGTCACGAAGCTTGCTGTTACAAGAAACTGAATTCGATAGACCTACTCGCGACAACTATAGGAGAAAACAAGAGAACACGATGCATCGTTGCCCTGGAGCGTTTCTATCGAACCCGGAGGAATACCTACAATGCAGACACCCGGCACGGCTCGACGCGACTCGGAAGCCTGAACGCGCTGTCGCCACCGCCGCCCATCTACTCGTCCATGACCGAGGCAAACTTGTCCAGCAATTGCTGGTGGATGCCCTCGTACTACGGCGGGTCAGCATGATCACCTCGCACAATACACACGGTGTTCGTCGCAGGGGGGGGGGCACGTACCTTCTTGCAAATCTGCTCCTCACCGTCCGAGGGAACCTCGAACTTGAGCTGACGCAGCTGGCTCTGCAGCTCGCCCGTCGCGTCGCGGACCTTGGCCCAGCTCTGGCCCTGCGCGATGGCCTTCTGTGCCTCGTCGTGGAAGCCCATCATGAGCTTCATCATCCATTCCGTCTTCCAGATCGGGCAGAATTGGTCGTAGTCTGAGTAGCCGTTCTGCTGGAGGAAGTCTTCCTTGATGATCGACGCCATGTCGAGCGTGATCTTGTCGGGGTCAGACAGCGCGCTCTTGCCGACCAGCTGCACGACCTGGTCGAGCTCCTCCGAGTCGGAAAGGAGCTGCTTGATGCGGTCGCGGAGGCGGGGGAAATCAGGGTAGTCCTTCTCGTACCACTTGTCCAGGACGTTGGTGTACTTGGAGTAGCTGAGCGACGTGTTGATCGAGGGGAAGTGCTTGCGCTGCGCGAGCTTCTTGTCGAGACCCCAGAACACTTGCACGATACCGAGCGTAGAACTCGTGACGGGGTCGGAGAAATCACCACCAGGCGGGCTGACGGCGCCGACAATGCTGACACTGCCGAGACGGTCGGGCGAGCCGAGTGTCTGGATACGGCCGGCACGCTCGTAGAAAGAGGCGAGCTTGGCACTGAGGTAGGCGGGGAAACCCTGATCAGCAGGCATCTCTCCGAGACGACCGGAAATCTCACGAAGAGCCTCGGCCCATCGAGAGGACGAATCAGCCATCATGGCGACGTCGAGACCCTGGTCACGGAAGTATTCGGCGACAGTGATTCCGGTGTAGATGGAGGCCTCACGGGCGGCGACGGGCATGTTGGAGGTGTTGGCGATGAGCGTCGTGCGCTTCATGATGGGCTCCTTGCGACCGTCGACGTCAATGGTGAGCTCGGGGAAATCCTTCAGGACCTCAGCCATCTCGTTGCCACGCTCACCGCATCCGACGTAGACGATGACGTCCGAGTTGGAGAACTTGGAGACGGACTGCGAAATGACCGTCTTGCCGCAGCCGAAAGCGCCGGGAATGGCGACGGTGCCACCAAGCACACTGGGGTAGAGAGCGTCGAGCACACGCTGGCCGACGATGAAGGGCTCGGTCGCAGACAGCCTCTCGGTCGAGGGACGGGGCACTCGCACAGGCCAGACCTGCATCATGGGGTACTCCGTCTTCTTGCCGTCAAACTCGACCTCGAGGATCTTCTCATCGACGGTGTAGCTGCCCTTGCCGGCGATCTTGGTGATGGTACCGCGGGCGCGAGGCGGGAACAGAATCCTGTGGGTGCTGATGAACGAGTTCTCGAAGACGGTACCCCAGACGTCACCGCCCGAGATGTGATCGCCAACCTTCAGGGTCGGGGTGAAGTCCCACTTCTTCTCGCGGTCGAGCGCGGGCAGAGCGATACCGCGGGGAATGTAGATGGACTTGGACTCCTCGCTAATCTTGGCCAGAGGGCGCTGGATACCATCGTAGATTCCGTTCAGAAGACCAGGGCCCAGCTCGACGGACAGGGGCTTTCCGGTTCGCAGGACAGGGTCGCCGACGGTGACACCAGCTATTCGCTCGTCAGCAGGATGTAGATAGCGTCGTAGGGGGACAAGCGCGACATGCCGGTCTCCTCGTAGACCTGGATCGTGGCTTGGTCACCGTTAATTCGAATGACCTCACCAACCAGGTTCTCGTGGCCAACTTTGACCTAGATGCACATGTCAGAGACGACGAACATTTCACACAGACTTATTGGATCGCAACCCACCAACTCATACATAGCAACACCGATCAGGTCCTCGGCGACAATGACGGGTCTGCACTCGGGTTAGTCGTGAGGGGTTTCGAAACGGGGGGCAGCGGCGCGCTGGTCGGCGGTCGTTTGGAGAGAGCTGAGGAACGAACCCGGAGACGGAGAAGATCTTGCCTGTGCAGCCATTTGTTAGACATTGAATAACGAAGAGGGATGCATGATGCAGGCGGGGACAATCAATTCTTACCAGAGTTGAGCTCATCTTCGCCGCCCTTGTTGCCTTTCTGCATCGCGAAGCCTGGTCAGCGAAAGTCCGTCACCGAATGTCGTCAACGCCTCTCGGTGGGGCAAAGCATCATCTCCCGCACGGGGAACCCAGCTGGGAGAGAGCGATGGAGACCAAGACAGGACGGCTTTGGGGGGGGAGGGCGCAGCTTACGGGAGCCATGCTGGGCGGTGGTGAAGGCGCTCGTTCTTTGGATGCTTCGATGTCTTCGGGAAGCACGAGCTTGGGGATTGGGAGGTTCGGGGTCGGAGTGGCGGATGGTGGGAATCGGAAGGTTTTGGGAGGAGATGATGGTAGAGGTTGAGCAGAAGCTACGTCGAGAGCTGCAGCGACAGCAACAGTAGCGGCACCAGCAGCAGCCGCAGTAGCGGGCCAGGCCAAGGCAGCCTGCTGCTGGACGAGAGGCGCAGGCAAACCGAGCACGGGCGGACTTGGCAGTGGTTCTGTGGCTGGACCTCGCTCTGTGGCTGTGGCTGTGGCTGTGGCTGCAGACGAGGCTGGTGAGCCGCCGAAACGTGGAGGAGGTGCAGGCGCGGGCGCGGGCGCAGGTGGAGGCGATGATGTAGGCCCGAACGACGGCGACAGCGGGGTTGGCTTGGTCCTGTTTCTCGCGCACGAGCAAGGTCGACGAGCGAAGGGCGGCGCCTTGAGACGTGGGGCGTAAATCCCGGGCTGCATGCACCTGGTGGCACCTTGCGATACCTGTCAAGCAACCACGGGTATGAACGGTAGACGTGGGCGCTGTGTCGTCGCGTCGATGGTGATGTCGCTCGCTGTTCTTGGATGTGAGGTACGTGGACCAACCGACCACAGCTGTCGGAGATGGAGCCGTGTGGGCGGTTGAACCCCCCTGGTTCTGCTGGTAGGGGTTCAATTCCGACCAAACTTCCTTTCCTCTTTAAGCCCCTGCAACGAGTTTCGTCTCCCCAGGACGCTTCCCTCCTTCAAGGTCAAGATTCCCTCGCCATCATAGGTGCTCAAGATTTCGTATCCTACACTTCATGTCATGCGTCATTATCATTATCCTACAGGGCGTTGTACGTCCATACAAGCAACCCTCCTAGAGACACCGAGAGCACACCATTTCCACGCCACCTCTCAGATCCGAACCATCTCGCGCTCATCTGTTCTCCAGTCCTGAACTGATACCGTTGATCCAAGCCTCCCCGTCTTCGGCTTTCATATGTTCAGAAAGGGCCTCTGCCCACCCTTGCCGTGCTATGTACGTTGTGACCCTGTCGGGTGCCGGGTTGCCGCCCAGCCATTTGCTTTTCTTGTTTCTGTTGTGACCAAATACCGTCGCTCTCCCAAGTGCACCCGTCGTGTTCTTCAGTCGTTATTGATACATGATGGAAGCGTGAAAGCACACGTGTGCCCGCTCACGCATGATTCTCCTTGGACTCAACAGGCGTGTCTCGCTCGCGAGGGGGTGGAGTGAGGCTCTTCTCCCACTCATCCATGAGAATGTTAGCCGTTCGTTTGATGTTGCTGGGAGAGAGCCGGTTGACCACGTTTGGCAGAATTTCCTCAAGCTTGGTCGGCGAGAGGATCGGCGTCGTAGAGCGCTCGACTCTGGTGTCAATTGCCATGGCTGTCCGAGACGATTTCTTCTTACTAGTCACGAGTCGTCTTAGTCAACAATGCTCACAGCCCTCGGTCTGATTCGGGGTGTTCCTTACAGTGGTGTCTCATTCTCGTCAGCCTTCTCGGGAATGGACGCTATCCCTTCACCGCCGCTGACGGTTGACCCGCTCCAGCGTGTGGACTTGGCAGAGGAGACTGAGGGCGACTCCCAGTTTGACCAGTCATTGTCGTCGATCGAGTCGAACGACAGTGGTGTCCAGGAGAAGTGCTTCGACTTGTTTTTCGCCTTTGCCAGGGGCCGTTCCAGGGATGTTGAGGACCGGGAAGGCGTCTCCGCGGCGGGGCCGTCAAAGGCCGTGTCGAGGCCCGCCCGGGGACGCATGGAGCTCGACGCCTTGATCGTCTCCTGGTCGGCAGCAAACGAAACCGGCCTTTCCTTTCTAGCCGGTGCGTCGTGTGTGCTCTGGCGGAGGCTACGGCCGTTGATGGGCTCGTCACCAACGGTCGCCTGGCGAATGTCTTCCACAAAGCTCCAGAGGCCTGACTTAAAGTCCTCGGCTATTTGCTTGACACCCTGCTGGTTCGGGTGATAAGACCGGGGTTGCCACGATGCGCGTTTTGACAATGCCGGATTGACAAAGGGCTGGGCAATGGGTGGGATCTCGGGTGAAGTCATGCCATCGGAGTCCTCGTGCACGGAGAACCCACCATCCGTCTTCGCAGGGGAGAGCAAGGACAATGTTCTCGTGTGGCCGCCTCTCATGACGCGCCTCCGATGTTCCTTGGGCGTGTTCTGGTTCTGAAGGAACGCTTTACGCCGGTCTAGATCTACGCTGCGCCGGGCAGCAGAGAGATCCTCGGGTGCGCCCCCGTTGAGCTGGGGTCCCAGAGGTCGTAGTGGTTCGATATGGCGGCCCCGGTTCCGCTTCTGGTGTGCCTCTTGTGTCGTCCAGTGCTTCTTCAGCTTGAGTAGCTCTTCTTCTGCACGGGCCAGCTCTTCCCTGAGCTCGAGCACCTTTCTCTCTTGAGTTGCTATCGCAATGATGAAGTCGTTGGCATCGACTGGAGAGGCGAGAGCCGAGTCTATCGGCGTCGCGGGGTAGGAAGACAGGATGGTCGAGGGCGGACGAGACGGATCACTGGTGGGGAGGGCAATGGGAAGTGTCAGCGAGAGGCGATGGGCGTTGCGTGACGCATTCGATGTTGACCGCGACGAACGACCGACGCAGTAGTCGTCCGCAGGCGGCGGTGGGGGTGGCATGGCCTCGGCGTCCATGTCGGACGAACTGCCCCGCGACAGCTCCGAGGCTGATCTTGTCATTTGACTCGGGCGTGGTGGCAGTGAGGGCGTCGAGGTGCATGCCACCAGGTGTGCATCGAGATCCGCCATGGGGTGACAGGAGCGGGAGATGTTGTTCGGTCGGCGGCGGAGGAGCGGCGACGCAGATGTTGGTTGCTCGCGTCCATGTCGGCGAGGCCCAAGGTGAGGGCGAGATGCTTCTGATACTGCAGTTGAGAATGGCGGGGTCGATCCTGCTCTGCGCCCGTCGATGCTTGTGTAAATGAATGGCAGACCGCGCAATGTGCACCTCTTGTGTGCGCTGTCTTCCAGCGAGAGTGGAGGGTGTTCGTTCTTCTGGCGACGAATGCCTTGGGGTA